TCACCACTAGCTTGTGCTTATCGGCATGCTAATTAGCAGCGTGCTTAGCTAAAAGGCCATTAACTAAGTTTGCCCTCAATACTGTCCTAATCACAGCTGATTGATAGTAAGTGAGGAAGTTGTTGAACATGAATTATGATCTTAATATGCCTTTGCTGACTTACCTTATAAGGCCTTACAAAGGGTATATTCACACCTACCTTGGTTAGTTAGCTTGAAACGAACTAAAGCCCTGGTGCGGATCTTTTGGGCAGGTGTGAATACAAACCATGGAACTCGGGTGCGCACCAAACAGCTGAACCGAGACCCAGCCGAAGAGGTGGTCTCGGTTCTCTTCCAAACGAACCCTGGTACGCATCGTTTGAGATGTGAAAGTGACTGGACCTCAGTCTGACAGAGTTCTAAAAATCATACAACTTCATGGACTCCGCAGCACTTCTTGCAGCACGTCTTCATCGTTGCAAAATGATAAGCATCGCATCATAAAACCGATCGTTGTATCAAACGCTCTTGCTGCTCAAAATGTTCTGCAAACGTTTGTAACTGTATGAACCCAATCAATACCAGGACAACGAGTGCAGCACGCACAATCTCGTTTACCGCTTTAAACCGCCAAACACCTTTTTGTCCAATAATTGAATGACCTTTGCACACATGTGGTTCTGTTTACATATTCTGGGCCTCTTGTGAAAAGTGCAATGTGAAAACGAACCTCACCAAGCCAAAAAAGAAACATTGTATTTGGTCCGGACCAAAGAAAGTGAACTAAAGGACTTTCCTGGTGTGAAAACACCCTGAGTGACTGTCTGATAAGCAGACAGTATGTTACTGATTAGCATGCTAAGAAGCAACAAGTTAATGGTGAGTATTGTGACATTCATTAAAAGTGTTCTCAAACAAAAAGTCCACAATTCATTTGTCTATGTTTCTTTAAAGTATTTAGACCTGACAGTAGAGCGAGTTACAGTTTGTTTGGAATGACTTTCATAGTCAGTACAACCTGTAGTGTATTCAACATGAAACCAAAAAAGAGAAAAAAAAAGTTGTAAAATAAAAAGCAACACAGAAATGAATGAAATCTCTGGATGTTATTCATATATAAAAAATAAATATAAAAAAAAAAAAGGTGTTAGGAGCATATATATTATTCATAAGTTAACTTGCAAAGCCTGTGAGGTTATCAAGCACCTTTTAAAGGTGCATAATGATCCCTCCAAGTTGACGAAGTGTCACTGTGAGATAGCTTTAAGTGTCGTGGGAGGACCATCCATCTGTTGTTAGTGCGAAAGTGGATGAGGAGGAAAAACTCCTGCTCCATCACTGCTCGTGAACGCCAGTAAAGGGCGCAGTATGAAGTTGCTGACTACAGCTTTAACATGGGTGGTTCTAGGCAGGGGCCAACAGGGGACAGAAACACTGAGATCGGACCCCCCTGTGGCCACCCCTCCAAAAGGAAGAGCCCCCCCTATTAAACATACGCAGTATTTGACTCAACAACTGGATTCACAATCTAGTATTAAATACTGTTCGTGAAACAAATTTAAATGATGGTATTTTATGTTGTGGTATTTAAGGATTTGTGCTATTATTTGGCATAATATTTATATTTTTAAAGCGTTCATCTTTGTCTATTTTGCACCTGGGTTAAATGTTCCCCTCTGACAAAACAACTGGCCCCTTCAGTAAAAGTGGTCTAGAACCGCCACTGAGCTTTAAGAAGCCAAGCGTAACTTTAAAAATACCAGAATGCATTTTAAATCCTGAAAAAACTAAAACTCCAGCTTAAATATGAACTATTCCCCTCGTATTAGACATCGTAAGTGAACAAGAAGTCTTCTCCCTGAGGGCTTGCAGCGCCCAAAGGCCCAGAGGAGCCTGCTCTGAGGACACATTCCCCTCACAGATTGATAAGAGCATCCCTCGTCTATCCTCCTCTGTCCCTCCCTCTGTGACTCTTTCTGTCCCGCCTCTCTCTGCCTGCCCTGCAATCTGTGAAAATTCCTGGTTTAAAAATACTGCAACACTTCCTTTGTTATACTAAGCGCTTTTTTTGTTCCCCCTCTACCTTATTTATTTTTCTTGTTCTCCCCAAATAACAGCAGTGCTGGGATGACCGAGGAGGAGGGAAAGAAGAAGAAGAAGGGAAAGAGAATATAGACGAGGGGGGGGGAGGGAGTGTGCAGGGGATACAGTATATAGTGAGAGGGAGTGACTCGGCGCTGTCAGAGCGAACAGAGAAGAAGAGGACGGCAGAGAAAGTTTATAAGGCGTAGTTTAGGAGGAAAAACGCGTGAGAGAAGCTGGGGAATCTGTGGTGGCCAGCTGCAAGAGGGGAGATAGCGGAGAAAGGCTTTTAATTCTCAATCCCCACAGAGCCTTTGAAAATTACCAATCTTCTTATCACAGACGCAGGGCTGCTTATGCAAATTGTTGTGGAGTGGAACGTTTAAACGGAAAATTACTCGACAGCATTTTTTTTTTTTTTTCCCTTCCCTCTCTCGGCTCCCCCCTCTCTCCCTCTCTCCCTCTCTCTTCCACACAGAAAGCCTGTTTTGAGTCTCAGATAAGAAGATGAATTGCTCTCTCCGTGCTTTGAAGCGCGTCAGGATTTAAAGACTCCAGCCTCGGCTCCGGTCTAAACCGCTGCTCTTGCTGCCTTTGTAGCAGAAAACAGGCTGGGGGAGAAAAAAAAAAAAAACGGGAGAAATAGCGTTTCAACACAACATAGATTCTGTGCTCCAACACATCGTTACCGCCCGGAGAGACTAGGAAATATAAATATTCCTCCTTCACTCTATTTCCTTTGATATTTCTGCTTAACACAGCCAATACTTCTTTCTTTTTTTTTAAAAGACATGGCCAATAATTGACATGGATGACTGAAGCTCATGTGCTGTGCAGAGGAAACATTTGAAATCTAAATGACTCTACAGGCAGTAGTAGAAACGAAACAGAAAGAGGTGTTCACATCTGCTCAAGAGGTTTTTGCACTTAAAATGAAAACCACTGAGGGAGTGCATATAGCCATGAAAACATGCAGTTTCACATGTTTCTGAGTCACATGTGCTGTGACCAAGCAGTTCTTGATGCTGAGTGTCTGGGAACAGCTTTTGATTTTTTTAAAGTTCTGTATTGTTTTGATATAAAGTATTTAAATCGTGCACGCTCTTTGTTAATATCTGACTGAAGAAGTTGCTTATTGTAGATTTATTTTCTTTGCAGTTTGGAAATGAACAATAAGCATGTAAGGGTTTTTTGGGTGGCCGGTAATGTGTCTCTGTTTTTTGTTTTTTTAAGCTGAGGCTGTTTTAAATCAGGCTGCACTGGTGCAGTGGTTAGCTCTGTTGCCTCACAGCGAGAAGGTTCCTGGTTTAAATCCCCCGTTGGACTTCTCGTGGGTTCTCTCTGGGTACTCCAACTTCCTCCCACAGTCCAAAGACATGCTCGTTAGGTTAAATGGTGACTCTAAATTGCCCGTAGGTGTGAGTGTGACTGGTTGTTTGTCTCTACATGTCAGCCCTGTGATTGACTGGGGAACAGTCCAGGGTGTAACCCTGCCTCCCGCCCAATGACAGCTGGGATCGGCTCCAAACCCTGTAACCCCAAACAGGAAAAAGCTGGATGGATATTTTGAACCAGAAATGTTGTTTATCTTTTGCATTAGAATGTATATATTTTGTAAATGCGATTTTTTTTGAGTTTTTATTACACTATGCCTTTTCCTGCCCCTTTGGGTTGCACCCCTGACGTGCATAACATATTGTCACAACCCATGGCTCAGTTAGATAAATAAAAAAACAGGGAGACCACACAGTTTTAAAGTTATTTAAACTATAATTTTTGGAAAACTAAGGCAAAATATCCTAATAAAAGAATATGCAGTCTGTAAATCAGTGGTGAGTGTAATGGTGAAAGTGTGTGCATGTATTAAATGGTAAATGGAATTGAGCTTGTATAGCACTTTTCTGGTCTTCTGACTATTCAAAGCGCTTTTAAACCTCAGGTCACACCTACACATTCACACACTGATGGTAGAGTGTCTTGCCCAAGGAAAAAAACGGACATGTTGCTGCAAGAACTGGGAATCGATCCCCTGATCTTCCAGTGCAGAGACAACCGACTCTGCCAACTGAGCCACAGCCGCCCAGTTGGTAGGGGATTGCTAGAAGTTGGTAGCTGAGGTAAAAAAACAAAGACCACAAAACAAAGTTAGCTGTGGCAAGAGAGGGAGAGAGAGAGAGAGAGACTGAAGAAGTCATCTTAAATACCAAGGCCCAGCAGACTCAGGCGCATGACATCAAATGAACTGGCAACCTGAGAGGGGAGAGATACTAGGCAACAGGAGGAGCACTGACACGTCCAGGGGTTGTTGCAATATCACAAAAAGGCCTTAAAACGAACACTAATATTAACATTTGTGAGACTGTCAGAATCTTGATTGTGTACACCACAAGTCTTGTTTTCCATTCATCTCACTTGTCATTTTATCTACAAGTCAGCCTGACTCGGTATCTTATCATTCCTTCACTGTAGTTTCAGCTTACCCTGTGGACATGCCTTTTTCTGAGTCGTTGAGTTCCCTTTTGTAGTTGTCAGCCTTTGTTGTTCTTTTATTGCTTGTGAGATATGTAACTCGGGGCTTAAGGGTTGCATTGTATTAGCTCAGAAACCACAAAACATGGCAGCCTGGGTGTTGTGGCTGTTTGGTTAATAAACAGGAGCTTGACATTTACAGAGCTGATAATGGATTGTGGCGATGACTTTCATGTTTACAAAAACATCCAGCAGTGGTTCGGCATTGAAAGCTGTATCTCTTTTAAACTGTGAAACCACTTGTTCAGTGACTGTTGTCTGATGTAAACCACAGGCGAAGATTTAAAGCTCCATCATTATCTCCTCTGAGATGACTCGCTCACAGAGCTCACAGAGCAGTTTAAGACAGTGCGCCGTGTTTGATATGGTTGTTGGCTAATGCTTGAACTCTCCTTCCTTCCCATCAGAGGCAGCTCAGGAAGAGGAAGTGCTACCTCCTGGTGATCGGAGCCGTCGTCCTAACCATCCTCATCATCATCATCGCTGTTTCAACAAAAAAATGAGACTAGCCTCTGTGGTAAGATCGAGCTTCTGCAAACACAACACTGTAGCAGACATCTGACACTTTCTGTGTGTGTTTAGAAAAAATATATTTTAGGGATACGATTAAAGGTATTTACCTTTCACTAAACTCAAAATGTAATATCAACACACGAGCAGAAGGGTAATGGCCTTTATTTTGAAACTGTGTTCTAAGGTATAGCTTTATGTGGACACTCACACACGTCACTCCCCCCTTCCAATTGGCCCGAACTGAATTCTCCGGAGAATATCCTGCTGCGTTCTCACCTCAGCTCATTCAGACTTGCTGTGTGAAAAAATACCAGGGGTTTGGCAGGAGACACTACGGGTTAAGTCCGAGAGAAAAATTAGGCTGTTTGCGTTCACATATACAGCTCCTCCTGGAAGTATCAGGAGTTTTTCAGGAGATTTTGGCTAGTGTGAAAACGGTATATGAATCCCATTTTTCTCCGGTATTTGTGGGGCACATTATGATTGTTGAAAGGATGAGTCTTGGTCAGTAAGTGTAAACGGACAGGTTATAACACAGGTCATTATTTAATGTGGAGCTGCAACAATAACATACTTAAAGTCCTTTGATTATTGTTTTTAATTATTTGTTTCTGTCGCAGCTTGATTATTGTTTAGTAATTTGGTCTTGAGTTCCAATGAAAGACGTAAAAAAAATAGCAAATTGCTCAAAATAAAGCGGCCTGTTGTGCTTTAAGGTTCTCTTACAGAACGAGAGACATGTAAGACCGTCTTGGCTGGCTAACTGTTACACAGAGATTCACCAACACACCTAATGCTCCGATGTTGCCAACAAGTGATAGATTTTTTCTTTTAAAAAAAAGACTAAAGGAAACATTTATAAGAATAAGATGCCCTCCTCTACAGCCTGCAGGTTTAGTAACGTGACAGTGAAAGGCCACCTGACTAATTTTAACATCAACATACTCAAAGCAGGAAAAGTTCTCTGTCCTTTTCACTCACTTTATGTTCAATACAAGATGCGTCAGCTCGCATTAAGTATTGAACCCCAGCAAAATGGAAATCCAGTGGAACAAAGCGTTCTGTCCGTAAAACAGCAGGCTGAATCGATGCTCCCATGGCGACCGGCCCATGTTGAGGCTCAGCCATTGGCAGTTGGCGCTCGAGTGGTGAGAGATTTTAAGTGTCCACAGCAAGACAGTCTCAGCACTTAGAAAGGAAACTAAGAGACGACGTGGAGTACATCACCACGGTTTGCTTCAGTTTTAATGTATTTATAAAAAGATGTATTGAAGTTTACCGAGCTCACCTTCTTTGTGTTTGTATTTAAGTCCATGGGGAATAAAAGGGAGTTGATAATGTTGTTTTAGTTTTCATTAAAAGGTAACCCAAAGTTTAAAGTTCTAAGTATCGTACCATACCATACCAATACAATCTGAAAATATTCCATTGATAAACGATGAAGCAAATGTAAAAAAAAAATGAAATGCGGAAAAAAAAACATGCCACTAAAAATGTGATTAATCGCATTTTTTTTACATGAATGGTTTGACTGTTCTAATTAAAATGTTTCAACATATAAGAATTGATTTCACAGATTGTTTTGTGAAATCTGTTGGACAGTTTTTAAGGACTCTGATTTACTGATGAACTGTTAACATAGGTCAACGTGGGACAACGGCGGCAGTTGGTTAACAGTTGAATTAGCGTACTCTTGATCGCGTTTTTTCAAGACGATTTCTCTGTCCCTCTGTCTTTCATACCCCTGGCATTGTAGCTGTGAGTGACAGCTATTATATTTATATAGTGATAAAGTGATCAAAAAATACAATCGTAAATCCATATTTTGTGTTTTATTTTGAAGTCGACAAGACGCTCTGCGCGTTTCTTTGTCTGACTTCCTGTCCGGGTTGTTCTGTTCTGTCTACCTGACACGTGCCTGCAGCGTACTCCGGCGCTCGCTGTGGAAACACAATCATTGACACGAGTGGCAGAGAACGGCGTTGTAGTGTGCGGCGCTGATGGACAGCTGCGCGTAGAGAGTATTTGGAATTTGGGAGTCAGTCACGATCATTATATGGACTACATATGTTGTGAAACTAAATCAATTTGGCTTTTAAAATGAAACACTCTGAATGTAAGAGGATTGGAATTTTGTCAGATGTGTTATAATGGGAAAACAAACCCTGTCTTATACTCGTACCAATCATGTATGTTTCTGTAAAAAGCAGCAGTCTATTTTAAAGGCTCTATTTGGGTTTTGTAAGCAGTGCAGTATGTCAGAGTTTGCAGTCTTTAATGTTAATTTGTTTACTCTACACAGAGTACAGGCTGTGCAGACAGATACTTTGGCCAGTGTGGAGCTTGTAATATCCCAGTTCATAAATCATATACATAGTAAAATGAAAACATAAATATCGGCACTGGATCTAGAGTCTGAGCTTTACCTTACACAGCACAATAAATACTAATAAATGCAAAACCACTAATGCCCGATGGAGAATTTGACTGTACCCCGTCGCTTCAGTTCATCTTTGATTGAGTCTGGCCTAACGTAATCTTCCCATCAGTGTGAGGTAGGTGGTATTTATGACTCGTCTGGTATTTTTTTTACATGTAGTTTAAAGTAAAATAAGATCATTTTAAAGCTGTGATACTATATTTTTCATCTGGCAACACTGGCTCCATGAAACAATGTGGAGTTTAAAACATCTTGATCTCTCTGCAAAGACTCCCCGACCTTTTAATTAAATGTTTAAGTGATTTTTGCAGAAGAAATACAAACATTAACACTTTGGCCTTCTCCATAAAATGTTATTGCCATGCATAAATGTTTTAATTTATGAAGTGTTTGACATCCCTTCCTCTGAAATACTTTATTATATAATACTTTTATTACATTAGAAAACAGCCACTGTCAGAGTCCAGTTTACTTAAAGAGAGGGCATCATCATCCAGGACCGAGAATCGATGTGAACAGATACAGAGACGAGTCAGCAAGAACTTCAGCCCGCTACCCCCAATATAACGGTGTTAAAGTCTGGGAACCCCGATTGTCCCTGGTGGTGGTTAAAACATTTAACGTTGCACACAGCCACGCACACTATGAGGCCTAACCAAATCAATCAATCATTATTTGTATAGCACCAATTCATAACAACTATTATCTCAAGACGCTTTACAAAAGAGCATACGGGATAATATGCAGGCAAGATTTCTCCTTTGTATTGAACCTGTTGTCCACACTTCCTTGCTGCTGAGGTGGAGGTCGGAGCAGGCCATGCAAGCTCTTTGTTTATAAACTTAAAAAAAATTAGACTTGTTGCAATTTAGTGATAAGATGAACCAATTCGTCCATCAGCTCCTGAGAAAGTCAATCTTTTTTGCTCACAGACCTTGCACAATGTTTGAAGTTAACCTATTATACTGATCTGACACAAGACCAAGACCATAAATATCAATAAACAAAAAAAAGCAGGGGGCGTGTCACTCACTTAGATCGGAACTACGGTAAAGATGCGGCCGTAACATGGAGATAAAAATATATATATATTGATGAATTGAAATTATTTGTCAATTAAGGAAGGGGTGTTTTCCTTCTAATCACAGTAAAGACAGAAACCTATCAGTGGTGGTCTTGATTTAAAATCCTCAGTCCACCCAGTCTGAGGACGAGACCAAGACCTTCAAAAAATTGATCCCGATACCGGTCTTGAGATTCAAGTACTAAAACACTAGACCTGAGTTACATGTTCTCAACATCAACATTGGAAGCATTGTCAGATGAAACGTATTGGGCCCTGTATGAGAGCTCTTGCATAACTTAAGATTCCAAAGCTTTTTATTGGTGAATCTGTTAACAGCCATGACGGTCACGTATACCTTTAACCGACGATCCAAACACGCACACAGTTTAAAAAGCTGTTCAAGGCAACAAGTGTGTTCCTCGCTTTTTTATTTCCTGAACTCCAGCCAGAGTGCAAAGAAAGGGTAAGAAAAAAGCGATGGAGAACAGAAGCAGGAGAGGCAGAAAGGAGGATAGCTGGGCGCCGTACATCAGTTTAATGAGAGTGACGATGACAGAAATAACTGCAGAGCTGCTTCTGCTCTGAAATCAATAGCCTGGCGCTTTATGGCACTCTAAATAATGCAATAACTGCGCCCTGACACTTATTCCTATACGAATTATGTTACTGGCAGTGCCCTCACATCTTGTTTACAAAGTCATTTGGGGAGTGAGATTTCTCTATATGCATGTCAGCGCCATGTGCTTAAACACTTTGTTCATTGTGTCGTTGCTGATGGGTTTCCTGTTCTCTTTGAAACACAGCCGAGAAAATAAAACAACACTTTCTCCCTTTTAATGGTTAAAATAATGAGCCATTCGATTTTACGATAAGTACATTTGAATTGTGCTACTTTTCTTCACTTATTTATAGCTACAACTAAGACATTTCCCCTCTGGGTTTCCAATCTTAAGTCACCTCAGTCCCAACCCCAGCTTTGAGTCAAAATGGGGCGATGAGAGTTATACAAGCACCTTTTTACATTTCTTCAAATGTTTTTATTTAAATACAGTATATGTCTCCTGAGAGCAGTCCCTCCCATCGTTTGGGGAAACTTTACACTATGTGGGACATATATGAAAAAGCAACTCAGTAAGATTCCAGGGACAGCCTGTCATGAAATTTTCTAGAAGTTTCCAGGAGTGCATGTGTGAAGACAGCTCTGGTTTACACACTAATGTGGAAGTAGCTAGTCATGTAAGTAATGCCCGGGGGCGCTGGTGGAGCAGTGGTTGGTGCAAGCGCCCAGTGTGTGGATGATGTAGTCCTCCAAGTGGGCGGCCCAGGTTCGAATCCGGCCTGTGGCTCCTTTCCTGCATGTCATTCCCTATTCCCTAAAAAAAACAAAGTAATGCCTTATAGCATACCCTGTGGTTTTGTCCACTTAACTCTAAATGGCATCATAACTTACTTAATGAGCCTGATTTTTTTATTAAAGGAGCAATATGTAACTCTGACA